CCACAAGCATTGAGCGTGTTTTGGTCAGTTCACATGAACAGCGAGCGATACGTGGAATATTTTCACAGCCTGTCCCTCATTACGGTTATTAATTAGGTCTTTCCAAGGACAGATTCGAGAAATTTTTCTAAATGTATGTAATTCTTAAGTGCAGAATTTGCCCGGCTCGCTAGCGTAGTTGGTTAAAGCTGACCTTGCAGCGACTGGGTGACGAACTCCTTGTGGTCCGGGTTCACGCGCGGGGGTAGGCAGAAAAGCCACATTTCTCCCAGATTTACGGTGCCTATCATGGAACCAAGGCTGAAGGGTTCCGATATCTATAGTACCGAGCCAGAGGGTTAAAAACTCGTGATTTCTGGATATTTGAAAAACAAATGTGCAGAATTGGTAAATATACATTAGATAGGTTTTTAAAAATTGGTTTTGTTTGATATTGTTGAAAATAATCTGCTTAGTTTTGCCTTTTGCTTTTAGCCTCGCTACTTGTGAAAATTTAATGCAAAACACAAACAAGGGGATCCATTAACTGGACAGAATAAACTTCCAGTGGATAAGGATCCTGGACAAAAATCATGATAAGGTTAAGGCTTCAAGAGGCTGGATGTGTTGTCACTGTTCCATTCGTTCTGGTGACCACCTTGGTGAAATAATGTCAGATCAAGGAAACTGAGCATTTTAGAGGACATAGAACGATCTTAGTTCACGTTTTGCTGGACAGTGTTGGTGATACAATGTCGCCTTGTAGACCTATGCTACGTCAGTCTTTGTCATTAGAAAACCTCACAGTCGTCATTGTCGTCAGATAGGGAGCTCCTGAATGTGAGTGGCGGGAGACATACAACCTAGACACCTGTTAGGATGAATTACCATAACCACATAAAGCGTCTAACAGCTGTAGTGCATACCACTTAACTGTACATACGATAAAAGTTTCACTGTCCAAGTTCATTGTACAATGTACAAGGTAATATAAATAATTATTATATAATCCCTATAATGTGCATAAGACAAACGTGACATTGCTTTATCTGCTCCGTTGTGTAAAACGATAACGGGAAATATGTTTTCTCGTTTTAAATCCTATCTGCCTCTTAATGGCTTGCATACAACTTTACCACTAGCGTGGTTGAAATGCAGAAAAGGATATGGATCAAAGAATGCTGTTCACGATGAAGCAGAACTTGATAATTCTGCTAATAGATTCTGGAATCAGGCTGCTACCTGTATCCCCCCCCTCCCCCCCCCACCCCCAAAAAAAAGTATGTTGTTGTAGCTTGGATAACGCCATGTCGGTGATTTTGGCATGTGCAAGAGATACACCAGTAGTATGTCTGTAATATATCCTTGCACTGACGACTAAGCCGGAAGGCTCAAAGTTCTGCAAGCTAGGTCATATCTCTGTGCAGCCGTAGACATCAAAAACATAAACACTTCCTTCGTGAAGACCTGGGTACAGCTATTGGCCACAAAATGATGTGAGGAAAGTCTGATGCTGAGAAGCTGAAAATGGGATGTGGACTTTATTGCAAAGGCGAATGAATAACGCTTAGTACAACAAAGCACAGAGTATGATACAACAACACCTAATTTGAGAATGAAGGTGGAATAAAGGCAGTCACAGAGCTTTCTGCTGGCTTGAGAAGTAGCTGCATACACGTCATGACTGCTACTAGCTCACTCAGGTGGCGATAGGTATACTCCATGCAGAGTGATAAGCATGCCTTCAGAGGTCCCAGGTAGATGGCGTCATTTGCAACTTTTTGTGTCTGGGGTATTGGTGTGTTAACGGAAACTAACAGTCAGACAGATTGGATAGTCTGGTACCACTGGGTGGCGAATTTATGCACGATAAGCTGCATGTGGTCAAGTTTTGTTTGTAGGGCAAGTCAGCAATGCAGAAGCCTGACATTGCGTCCTCGAAAGGGTTTTAAACCTGGGTGTGAAAAGGGGTTCAGGCTGACACTCTGAAACTTTTCACTCAGAAATAAGGCAAAACGAACAAATAATCAATATCCCCGACTGCCGAAGATGGGGATGGAA